TGTTGTTGTTGTTGTTGTGTTGTTGTTGTTGTTGTGTTGTTGTTGTTGTTGTGTTTTTGTTGTTGTTGTTGTTGTGTTGTTGTTGTTGTTGTGTTGTTGTTGTATTGGTATGCTGGCAGGTGGTTTAGCTGCCAAAACAGGCATTTTATGCCAAAATTAATCCCAGAAAAACCGACCAACGTTGGTCGATTTTTAATAAAAAAAAATAAATTATTCCAAAATACCGACCAAAGTTGGTCGGTTAATGAACATTGAATTCCCAGAATTCAAGAATACCGTCCAACTTTGGTCGGTATTTTGCTTGCATTGTTGAGATTACCGATCATAGTTGGTCGGTAATGTTTAATTTTAATTAGTTTTAAAAAATATATATTTTCAATTACCGACCAAAGTTGGTCGGTTTTTTTAAATTTTAATAATTAATAAAAAAATATAATTTAGTTAAACCGACCAACTTTGGTCGGTAAAATTAAATTAATAAAATATGTTTCCGACCAAAGTTGGTCGGTAAGTAATTAAACTTGTCAGATGGTCGTTTTAATATACCGACCAAAGTTGGTCGGAAATTTCCGACCAACTTTGGTCGGTAAGCCATTCCGACCATCAAAACACCGTCCACACCGTAATGGTCGTGTTTTGGTCGGTAATTTGTCATAACCGACCAACGTTGGTCGGTATTTTTGGTCGATTTTTAGCGAATTTCTAGTAGTGTGTATCGACCACGGGTTCAATTCAAACCATAACTTCCAACATGGAGTACAAATTTATACGTAAAATTTTATTAAAATTATAAAATACTCCCTCTGTTTCAATTGATGTGAACTCATTTGATTGAGCACGGAGTTTAAGAAAAGACAGAAGACTTTTGAACTTGTGGTGTAAATGGCACACATATATTTTGTGTGGCTATAAACCATTGCATAAAAGTAAATCGTTTCCAAATAAGGAAATATATCATTCTTTTTGGCATGAATTAAAAAGAAAATAAGTTAACATAAATTAAAATAGAGGGAGTAGTCCATATGAACCTATAAATTTAAAAAGATAATGAGTTCAATGTTAAAATCTTGAAAGTTGAACCCATATAATTTAAATACTTAATCCGCCTCTCACTACATTGGAAGTACTATAATGCGCTTCCGTCTGGATTCAAGTCAAAAATTTAAAGTTATTGAATTCAGAATGATCACAATTTATTTTTGTGTGTATATAAATATTTATGCATATTATTAATCTTTTTGGCAAATTTATATGGTATGAGGCAAACACTAAAATTGTGAGTTCAATTCAATACTTTCCATATTCAGCTTTACCTCCACCCAAATGCCAATAATTTGCATGGGAGGATCTATGGGATATAATAATATATCGTAGAAGTAGTTAGAGGATCTAATAACCAATCTAATGATAGTCCAAACAGATTTTTTTTTTCTTTGATGTGAAAGGACAGCTAATTAGTATAAAAAAGTACTACTATGACTTTTGAGTATCTATAGTTTCTCGAATGGTTTAGCAAATAGTAAGAGGATATAGAATTGAATCGGTAATCTAAAACTTCTAACTCACCTCCTCTTCTCTTCGTAAACAAACACTATATCGTATTTTTAGCGTTGATTTTTTCGAGTTATTAGGAAAAGAATCACGAATGAATTGTTTTATAAAATAGGTGTATATTGCTCTTTATGTTTTTTGTTCATTAAAATAGTAAACAAAACGGGTAGTTATATTTTGACACACGAAAGAAGAAAATTCAACACTCAATTTGAAACTAATAGAATATTTTTTTCCTTAGAAAACTGAACTTGGTTCTCAATTATATACAAATATTATTTTCCTTTGTATGTGTCTGTGAAACCAAAGGACTCTGTAAGAGCTTGCGAGGATTTGATGGAATTTAATATTTTCTTACTTAACTTTCTTCTCATTCCTTCCGATAGCCCGTTTGACCAAGTTTTTAAAATCGATTTATTTTAAAAAATATTTTTTTCATAAATGTTTTACAAAAAAAATATTTTTGGTAAGAAACAATTTGTATTTGCTACTTAATTTAAAAAATACTTCTGAGCAACAATTATATAGTATTTGACCAAGCTTTTAAAAATCGCTAATAAATATATTTTTTTCAAAAGTGCTTTTGGGAATAAACTATTTTTTTTATTTCTCAAAAACTACTATTGTTTCTACTCAAAAATACTGTTTTTCTTTTAAAACCTTGGCCAAACACCTTAACTTTGGAAAAAATATTTTTACCCAAAAAAAAGCTTGGCCATATCAAAGAAAGTAGGAGAGAAAGAAAACAAAGAAAAAGAGAAAAAAGCTAAAATGAAGATAATTAAAGAGTAATTAGAAATTACCAATGGAAGCAGCAGGACTTGAGCTCCCATGGGAATAATAAGCAAAGTTGAAAACTAACTCTGAACATTTGGAATTTTGGCCATTAAAGTCATGAACTGCCATTTCCATAGCTACCTTTTGCTCTTTACCCAACCTGGATATTGGATCAATGATTGCTCCTATTCTCCATATCATGTTACAATCATCATGTACTGAACCATTTACACCATTCTTGTTATTAGTCAATGAAACCATTTGATAAATCAATAAGAAATAGAGTAGCAAAGATAAGACATGAGTAGTAGAAGTCCTCATTTTCGACTTTTGGTTGGCCGTTGCTGTGTCATATATGAAGGAGCTAAGAGAATTGACCATGACTTTTTATTTTTCATTTATTATAACACCTCGATTATTTTATTAGTACATGCTACTTTCTATCAATACCTACTTACATTTATATTTTAAAAAAAACCACTTAATATTTTGCTGTTTCTGCTGAGATCTGAGCCCTTGTTTTCCATAATCGTAGACTAAAACCTAAATGAACAAGGACTAAGACAAGGAGATAAAGTTGACTTTCAAGAAGAATCTTCCTTAGGACTTGTTCAAACTGGTTAGAAAACAATAAGGTTGGTATAAGAGGTAGTCATACTACAACCATAATATTGCAAGTTGAACTCAATAAATCCATAGTTAATGATGAGTAAATATAAACATAGAACTAGTCACTATTACATCAATGTAGCTAGTTGTACTCAACAATTCCGATCCATAATTAATTTGTTAATATAATTAACATCAACGCCACACCCATTTCCTTACCCTAAAATACTCGTGAACCATATAAAATTTTTGAGTTGTGCATACTAATTTTTTTTTATATCGTTTTAATTCTATCAAATATAATGTCATCAAAGGGACCCTAAAATATTTATGTGCTCTTGAATTATATATCGTTACATGTGTGCTAAAAAAATCGGCGTCTTATTGTTTAGTGTAGTTATAGCATTTCCATCTAGAAGATGAAAAGCTCTAGACAAGATTCAAAATAAATCTCAGTACCCAAATTCTGGGAAGGATCTAGGACTATCAAATATGGCCCAAGCCCAAATGGTCTGCCCAACCCGTTTAAGATTGGATTGGTTATTGATCCACTCATTTATTGAAGAGATTTTTACCTTCCTATACACTATTTCAAACCTTATTACCCTCCATATTCAAGTTTCAATTTAATTACATTGGCATATACAATTTACCAATTATATATATTTTAGGAATTTAATGAGTATCAATTAACTCCTAAAATCTCTCTAACGTACATATCTCACTCCCTCCACGTTTCTCTCTCCATACCCCCCCACGATTCTGTACTCTCTCCTTCCATTAACGCTCCCTTCCATATTTCTTCAAAAATCTTTTATAATCTCTTTCAAACTTTCTTAATTCTCTCTCTAAATCCTACTTTTCCTTCCCTTACAATGAAGAAGAAAGGAGTTTTGAAGAACAACCCTAAAAATTTTAATGTTGGTGATATTCCTACTTTTGATTTGGGTGTTTTGTTACAGGAATCACCCAAAAAAGTAGTGAAATCGGCACATGCAAAACCAGAGACAAAGTCCAAGCTTTCCCCTCGTGAAGCTAGGGCAGAAGCTCAAACAAAACTCAAGCATGGCAGAGATGCTGGTGAAGCTTTGACATCTGCTAAATCAGTAAAATGGAAGGGCAAAGAAATTGTCCGTGATGATGATTTCATCGAAGAAGAAGTTATCCCGAAACCTGCAAAAAAAAAAATCAAAGTTTCTCCTACTGTCAAACCTTCAAAAAAGAAGAAGGTTAAAAAATTAACTAAAACTATACCCCAACAGTCATTGGAGAATGTAAAATTTTAGTAGTTAAAATTTTGGTTTTTTTTTTAAAGTTACAAAACCTGTTCTCAGTCTCATGACTATACATACTTTTTATTTTTTTTTATTTGTAGAAATTTTGTCTACATTGTGTATATTTGTTGTTGGTTATTAACTTTTCTACATTTCCCTCGGAATTGTAGATTTCTTGTATATTATTCGAAAATATTTTGTTAGGGAATGTACTACATAATTTAGTTGGGTTTATTGGTTATTATTTGCTCTATTTTGTAGATTTTAGTTTCATTTTCTATAAACAAATTGTATATATTATGTGTAGTTGTTACTTTCTAATTTCTTGCTATAAACATAATTTGTAGTTTCAATGTAGTCAGTTGTTATATATGTTTACTAATTTTGTAACTTACTTGTATGTAAGATATTTATGTCTTTTTGATTGTAGCTAAATTGTAGTAGAACTGTATTTATTTTATTTTTTGGTCTTCAAACAAGTCTTTTTTTTAACTTACTGTTTCATTCGGTGCAGAACCAAACATTTATAGCCTATTATTCTAAATCATATTGTTAAGGGATTTACTATCTTATTTAATTGGTTTTATTAGTTATTATTTGCTCCATTTTGTAGATGATAGATTCATTTTCCGTAAATAAATTGTATATGTTATGTCTTGTTGTTACTTTCTAATTTCTTGCTCTAAACATAATGTGTAGCTTCAATGTAGTTAGTTGTTATATATGTTTACTAATTTTGTAACTTATTTGTATGCAAGGTATTTATGTCTTTCTGATTGTAGCTAAATTATAGTAGAATTGAATTTATTTTGTTTTTGATATTCAAACAAGTCTTTTTTAACTTACTGTTTCATTTGGTGCAGAATCGAATATTGTTTGCACCACATGATATTGATTATGGCATCACTAGGTTCTAAACATTATCCGACCCTGTTGTTCCTGGCCAAATCAATATGTTATTGTCTGAAAATGGGTTAAAGTTGTTTAAGAAGACATATTTTGGGCATTTTCTTTCCCTGCCCAAAATATGTATCCAAAACCAGGCAATTCACCTTCTCATGAAGTATGAATTGAACGCATCCGGTTTGATTATTTTTACAGCAGAGATAAAGGGTGAGAGGCTGAACTTTGGGTTGAGGGAGTTTGCCCTCATCACTGGCCTTAGATGTGTCACATAAGTAACGGACTTTGGTTACACAACTAAGTATGTCAGAAAAATAATGAGGAGCTATTTTTCGAATAAGGAAAAAGTTGAGAAGTCATACTTGAAACAAATTGTAACCAGCCATAGTTGAGTGAATGATGAGGATGCAGTCAAGCTGTGTATTCTCTATCTGATAGAATTCTTCCTCTGTCCTTCAGAGAAAGATAATGGTTTGATAGACTATTTTAGGTTCTACTTGGTGGACTCAGGGAAGTATGCGAATTTCGCCTGGGGTATCGAAACTTATACATAATTGCTTCAGTCCGTTAGTCACAAGCTCAACCCTTATGTGCATTTTTATCTCATTCGAGATTTTGCACTCGCTCTGCAAATATGGTTGTATGAGTGTTGCTCTACAGTCAACACTGATATGGCTACAAAGGTTGGTAATACGATCCACCGCATACTTAACTGGACAGCTAGTAAGGACAAGATATGGATATCTTATTTGGAAGATAGAATGATCAAACCATCATGGATCAAGGTAAATATTTTTCACTTCTGGACAGGCAATTTAATACAAATTATCTACATATTTTATACATATTATGACTAGGTCCCTCACATTTTTTTTCTCTCAGTTCACCTACATGCTTGAAGCCCCAGAAGAGCTTTCAAGAATGAATTTGCCGAATAAAGTTGAATACATCCTTAAAGAAGTTGAAACAAAGGCCGAGCATCCGACATATACTCCATCTCCATCTCCATCTGGACATAAGCAGGCAATGCGAATAGATGACAAGAAAGATATTGTGAAACAATTAAAAAAAATTAAGAAAAGATATTGATAAGGTAACCTATTAAGATAATCCTAGTTGGTTTCTTTAACTTATGGTATCCAAATTATTTCTTTAACTCTTTCTATTTTAATACGTAGGTCGGTTCAGACCTTGGAGCCTTCAANTTATTTTGGACAATAATTTTTACCATATTTATGTTTATAATAGTATTCCTAAAGTACATAGCCTAACAAATTCCCAATGCCGTTTACTGGTAGTTCTACGAAAAATAATGAGCATTACAAAGAAAAGAACAAACAACATAATCCGGGCAGTAGTGCTAAACCAGTGTTGGCCAGCAGCAGTAAAACATATTTTTTTAACAATTATAACATAATTTGATGACAACTAATCCACATTATTTTTATATTATTACTACAATATATCTACATATAGCCTAAATTACCAATAACTACAAACAAATAATCTACATTATATTTTCAATTGTTCTCTTAGATACATGGCACATGTATGACATTCAAAATGAGGAGAATGTTCTTGTAGGTGTTGATTTATCTTCTCAATTTTCAGGGGCATTGAAGAAAGAAACTGCAGGTATGATTTTATCTACATATTAACTTCAATTAAACTATAATTTATCTACATATTGCACGATACATATTACATCAGAGCTACACAATATCATTTAAACAAATTCATTACAATTAAACTATAATTTATCTACAATGTAGTTTCTGTTTACTACAAATGATCTATAATTTTATTAAGTTGAACACATTTATTGTAATAGAGAATGAAACAATGCATGTGAACTATCCAAAACAAATTAACTTCAATTAAACTACAATTTATCTATAGTGTTGTTTATGTTAATTTTAAATGATCTGCAATTTTATTAAATTGTACACATTTATTGTAACAGAGAATGAAACAATGCATGTGGACTCTCCAAAACAGGATGCAAAACTTGGCATAGAAGGAGAACATTTAAACGAGGATAAGGAGATTGTGCCTTTGCAATCTCCCATTCAACAAGCAAATGATATACAAAAAGGAGACGATTGCAATGAAGATTTCACTGGTATTATATGTTACAATATAATTGTAGGAAAAAAATAACAGCTTTCATATAAGTTTCATCTTCCCAAAAGAACTAATGCAACCAACATGTAATGTTGTTCTTTTTTTTAAAAATATTGTAGGTGAACCATTCAGACAATGTCTCCAAATCTGGAAAAAGGGCAGTAACACTTGATGATTTTGAGCTTCCAGAGAACTTCTCACAGATTGTTAAGTTCGGATAGGTAAATGAAGACGAAACAACCATTGTGCATCAGGGAAGAACAAGGGTTCTTGGAAAGCATGCCAGATCCCTATTTCTCCCTTATTTCAGTTCTGGAGGAAACACTTCTTGTCACGACCCAAAATCTAACTATCCGTGATGGCACTTAACCTCACCCGCTAGATAAGTCAAATAATAACAATCCGATTCAA